ACAGTAATACCTCAACTTACGCAAACCTGGAGTTATGCGATTTTCAAATCTCGCCGATTCGTCTTTTGTTAGAGCGCTATGCAACTCTTGATTACTCACTTCCCCCACACTATTGTTCAGCTTACATGTTTGGACGTGTCGCGCGGAATTGACACATAGCTACAATTTATTTTGTGTTATTTGTTTCTGTGTTTGTTATATCTACGGAGACTTGAGAGACTATGTGGTGATTTCTTGTAACTGTGAATGAATCAAAAGACAAGATAAGATTAACGAGAACATTTATTAGCTTACATACATCCAAGTTGGATTTTACACAAATTGCGAAGTTATACCTCGACTTACACGAATTCAACTTATGCGGTTATCGCTCGGTCCCACCTATCGTGTAAGTTCGGGGTATCACTGTATTAATCACGGGCCACATAAATTTATTAGACGGGCCGTATGTTGGCCATGCCTGATCATGTTTCTTAACCAAGAGAGCAGGGGCTGACCATGGGGATTTTGAATGTTCTATTATTTTAAGCTCTAATAATTGGTTGATTATATCGTTCATTTTAGGCCTTTGTGAGTAAGGTATATGATATGGAGCTTGATATATGGGTGCATTGTCTCATGCTGAATCCAATCGCAGAATCCTAAGTCAAAATCATTCATGGCAAAAACATCTTTATATCTTCAAAGAAGAGGTAGGAGAACAGCTTTTTCTTCTTCTTGTATTCCTTACCAACTAAATAATTTTCCAAACTCCTCATTACTTAAAGTTGGTTTTTCTTGTTTGAAACCCACCTTTCTAATCATAAGTTGATCCTTAGGAGTTGTTTCTTCTATGGCAGGAAGGAATGTGCCCACTAAAGTATTTCATTTTAACACAATTTATTCTTTCTTGAAGTTCATTAGTCGAACAGGGATTTGATTTCTATGATTTGTTGTGACCAACACTTTAGCTCCTATGATATCATTGACCTTGAAGTTTATTGGCTCTATCACTCCAGTTATTTTTGATTGAGTCTTAAAATTGTTTCTGACCTCCGTAGGTAGAATCACTTCACATCTAGATGGAAGAGTACAGTCTTTAACAAGTCTAACAGCTCTGGTCGGAAAGTCACTCCTATTCACACTCTTTTACATTTGAAGTCTTTACCCTATTTAATTTGGATTTATATATTTTCTGGTGAGTTTCACTTTTGTTCCTCTGGGAAAAATTTCCTTCTGATTTTTCCCAATAAAATTTTTGTCTTCTCATTAGGGAACTTAAGTTTGTTTTGGCTGAAGAGAACATCAATATTAAACCTTTCAAGTAGGTCTCGACCTAATATTCCCTCATAGGGATTTGTGATAGAGGGCTCGACTACGTAGCATGGATGTGAAAAACATAAGGGTCCTAATCAGATGCTGAGATTGTAAATTCCCTCACTATGTATTTTATGCCCTGTGATCCCATGGATTGGGATCAAGGTTTACTTGATTTGGGAGGATTTGAACTTAATTTGGCTAGAACATCTTTAGAAACAAGTTAACTCTTGCACCTGTGTCTATCAGAAGTAAAAGTTTCGAACCTTCAACCACACATTCTACAACTGGATCCCTTAAATCCTTAAAATGGTATTGTGCATTCCTTAACACTATAGGTGATTTTCGATTATTATTTGTTTTTCGTAGTTTAAGCAAATTGAGGGACTTAACTATAGGTTCAACACTAACTTTACTTCCTTTTGGAGAACACAGATTTTCTACTGAGCGTTTTTCCAAAAAATGGGGTAGCGACCCCTTCCGTTTCTCCGAGCGGAAGGGGTCGCTACCCCATTTTTTGGAAGATTATTTGATTTGACGTATTTTGGTCCCATTATGCTTTGATTTTTTTGCATAGTGGCTTGAGCCCTACAAAAATTTGCGAAATGTCCTCTGTTCCCACAGACATAACATTCTATGTTTAAATCAAACGAGGTAGTTTTACCAATCATTACTGGTTATGCTTAGTATTACTCCATTCATTTCAATCTCCAGTTGGGTGCAGTAAATGAAAGGTCACTCTGTATTTTGTCCTCTCCAATTCTGTGGAGTGTTTAAACTCTGGAAGCATTGGGTGTAAAGCGATCATGCCTTATAGGGGCAGTTGAAGATACCTGTTTTGCTCTAAGATTAGAAGTGTGTACTTTGTTCACTTTGAATTTGTTATTATAGTATCGAGGTTGTCTAAAAGTGAACTGTTTGACTGATGGAAAGAGGTGTATGCTAATGATGGCTGGATTGACATCTGTGGATTGTCTATTGTGGTCAAGTCTGGTAACTCCTGAGATTCTACACAGTTATCGCTGAGTGTATTGGTCATGGGTGTTTGGAATGCGTCTCGATGTCTAGCCTCTCTCGCATCTAAGAGCTCTGACTTAAGTCTTTGCACCTCCTGTTTTAATTCAGCAACATCAAGATCTATAGCACCTATATGATATCTAGGTCTTATTGTTAATTGGTCTATCATTTCTTCCTGAGTTGCAATGGATACTGCCTGTTCAAAGCCCTCCAGATCTTTAGAAAGGACTTGTCTTCGAATGGATGGGGATAAACCTGACAGGAATTGAACTGAATTAAAAAAGTGTTTTAAATAAACCGTAATGTTTTCTAACTAACACTTTTTAATTCAGATGCATTTCAGGTTGGCTTGTATTCCCAACCCCTCTTCAGTGCTGTTAAAATTATAAATTTATTATTTAAAATTACAAAAAACAAGGTGAGTTTCACAACAATGTTGTGAAACATTGTTTCACAACAATGTTGTGAGTTTACAAAAAACAAGGTGAGTTTCACAACATTGTTTCACAACAATGTTGTGAAACTCACCTTGTTTTTTGTAATTTTAACAGCACTGAAGAGGGGTAGGGAATACAAGCCAACCCGAAATGCATCTGAATTAAAAAAGTGTTTTAAATAAACTGTAACGTTTTCTAACTAATTGCTGTTTGGACTGCAAAGACACTACACACAGAATAATAACTTTGTATCTAATTTTTTTTGTAGGCAATTTTCGATAATTTGTCACTTCCTATCATTGCCAGCGGTTGTAACNCTGAATTAAAAAAGTGTTTTAAATAAACTGTAACGTTTTCTAACTAATTGCTGTTTGGACTGCAAAGACACTACACACAGAATAATAACTTTGTATCTAATTTTTTTTGTAGGCAATTTTCGATAATTTGTCACTTCCTATCATTGCCAGCGGTTGTAACAGGAGTCAATCCCACGCTAAACTTTGCAGCCTAACTGCATATGTTTGAACATCTTCATTTTTCTGTTGTATGCATTGATAGAATTTTTGAGTTCTAACCAATAAGGGTTCTCTATCAAACCTATTTATAAGTAATCTCTTAAATTCCTCATAGTCTGTTGTTCCATAAATTTTAAGTCCCCGATATGTGAATTCTCTAGCAATTTCCGTTAATTTGCACTTTGCAACTTGCAACTGATCTGTCACGTCCCAATTGTGCAACTGAGCTAACTCTTCTATCTGCTCAAAGAAGGTTCTGACTTTAGGACCTAGTTCACCATCAAATGCAGGGAGAGTATTCCCTAATGGAGCGAACGACTCTGATCCCATCACTCCTCCTCCTGCATTCCCATATCTGGTAGTGAGTGACATTTTAGTTCCTTACAATTATAAACAACAAAATTATTATTATTTATCTGAAGCTCACCGATCTCTGAGGCAATTTTGAAAAATCCCACCCCTGCCACCAGGTGTGTTTTATTGGACACACCGCTGATTGAGACGAAATAAATTATTAAGGCACAAGGGTAAGAGCCACTCCAAAGTCCAGGAATCAGCCTCTCAGGAGGAAGAATGCTGAGTCAGATATAACCAATTAAAGGAAATTTATTAACACAAAATGGATTTTATAATTCTGTTCTAAACTTCAATTTCTTGGAAATTTTCCTATCTATATAACGAGGGGGTATTCGAACTTATGCGACTCACAACATACCAAGTAAACAAGATGCCTTCTGTCATACGTTCAGACAGTCGGTCAGTCTCTTGATCCTGTTTCACTCTCACTCTTAGTCTATTATTGGTGCTTGCTCGTTTTTGAGCTCGTTCATTCTCTCGCTCTCGCTTCTGTCTGTCTGTCTCACTCCCTTTTTCTGTCTTTCTCCCCATCTGAGCTTTCTCTGGTTGGAGCTCTCTTTTTAAACACTTCCAGCATGAGAAAGTACGTCATCGTGTGATGATTCACTGGCAGTGTCGTCATCGTAGCTGAGACAGTGTTTTCTTATTTGGTAATGACATCGAACTTTCATAGAGTCATCACCAAGTTGACGTGACTCATCTTTGCTTTGGGATAGTTCTCAATCATTATTCATTGATTGGTTTATCTAAGTTCTTCGTTTAATATGTAAACATTGTAGAAGTTCGAGCCTCGTCACGACACTCTGTGCCAAAAACAAAGGGGGGAAGTGAAATGCGATGTTCCCCATTTTTATATATTCTTTTTAATCCTTTACAATTTTAATTATTTAATTGCTCCTTCCTCTCTTCCTTGGCATGTTGTGAGATTTCTGATAGTTGGATAACAAACCGTTTTATTCTAATTTGTCTTTTTAAATTATTTTGAGTTGATATTAAAATTTTGAAAGGGGGAGTCCCTAGATCGGTAAAATAGGTGAATTTCTTCTTGTAATTTTGGTTGTCGTTCAAGATATAGTTAAGGTTTTAACAAAGTTCAAGCGAATACATAATTAGCAAAAAAAGTTGAAATAAAGTGAATAAACAAAAATTATTACAAATGTCGTAAATAACAGTTCACTAATGTATATATAGATATTTTTGGAGGGGGAAATGGTGGTATTCACATAATGTATCAAAACCTCCATATGATGAAAAAGATGGAAGAGGATGAAGAGGAGAGACAAAAATGGTGAAGAAAGTAAGCAATGAAAATCAATCAAATCAAGAATAATTAAAATGAAAATTGTCTGTTACAAATAATAATAAATATTTCTCATACCTCAACTGGAATCCACCAATTAAACAATAAAAGAAGCAAATGCTCGATGATAGTTAACAACATGAAAAATAAACTGGCGATTGGACCACATTGTTTAAATCTATAAAAGAAAATAAATATAATTAATTTTAATTTATAAATTATTAATTTAAAAATACTTTCTGAGAAGCAAAACTCATAAAAATGCAAAAAAAAAAAACACAGTTACACTAATGTTTTTTTAGATAAGAAAGCATTGTGATGATATAATTGTGGCTTCAAGTTTACTTTTTTAGTCGAGTGGACAAATCGTCGACTGGATCTCTCTCCACCTTATTGTAGATGGCCTCTGTCCGTTGTGCTACATTGTTCCACTGATACATAGAACATATTCTTGAATATGCCTCAAAGGGTGGAACCACTCTTCCTCTCTTGCGATCTCCAAGAGCTCTTTCCAGGCCATCCACCAGACCTACATAATTATAAATTTTGTAGGCATTAAAAAAATAACTATTTTGCTAAATGGTTTAAACCAGTGATGCTCAAACATATTTGACACATCACTTATAAATGATAAAAATAGGCCTAATTTTAGTATACATGGAAATACAAAATATTTGTTGCCCCCTACTTGCAATTTACATGCAATTTGCCAACTAATCAAAAACTTTTAAAATCAATATTAATGAAAGATTACTTTAAATTCAAAAGTAAATATAAATTGTCTTTCTATGCTTATATATAGTTCTAGAAAATAAGCCAAATTTGTGAAAATGAGAAAACAATGGCAGCATTAGGCATAATCATTCTAGGCTTTTGCTAGGTGAGTGATTCTCAAATGATGTGCCACAAGAGATAGCTAAGTGAGCAAATAGTATGAACATATATTTTAAAAATGAGGAAAACCCCATTTGTATGGAGAATTATTACATCCACAACCAATGAATAACTATTCTGCTGTATTTTGGATAAATTTATTATTGTACACAGTTATTAATATAGTTTAAATTATGAATATGTTTTTAATTTTGTGCATAAAGTGCACTAGAAAACTTTTACACATTTTACAAACCAAAATGGTTGAGAACTACTTGCTTAGAATCTTGTACTTTTAGAAGCTTCAGATGCATACAAATATATGTTTGTTAATATTTAATCTTGGTCCATTACTTTGAACCCAGTACAGCACTGTATTGGACCAAGATTAAATATTAACAAAAAAATGTTTGTATGCATCTAACCTAAAATCTTTGGATAATATCATACAATTTGTGATATATTATATATATAAATGGCTTTTATATTATATATTTACATAAAAGTGATCTTTAAAGTTAATGTATGGATCATGAAAAGTTCAAACCATTATGAGCAAATCACTAAAAATATCTGTATGGCATATTTATTGCATTTCCAAATTTGAATCACATTTTTCTGGTTTAAAGCAAAATTTTATCAATAAGAAAATTATTTACTTTAATGTTTATATTATCAATAAGGAAAAATTTTCTCTTAAAGACTTACTGTGGAAGAATGCAATAGAATTATTAAAACGAGTACTTCTGATACAGTCAAATATCAAGTTTCAATGCATATGAACATTGACTATACAAAACATTTGAAGTATTAACAATCTAAAACTTTATAGATATATACAAACTGATAAAATTTCCATGATGATAAATTTACATTAAAAAAATATCCAAAAAAAAAACAATACATTAAAACATTATAGTTTAATTTGTTATTTTCTGAAGAGTGAAGAGAATTCTTATGGCAGAGTCAACCTTTATTTGTAGGCTTTTCATCTGAACAAATGCAAAAACGTTTAAAAATTTTCTTGTGGAGATGGAACTACAATATGTTCAAATGATCTGCTTTTTATAACTCCAAATGTTATAACTTTCAAAAACCTTTTTATAACTCCAAATGTTATAACTTTCAAAAACAATGTGAAATGAAATACATGCCTCAAGTTACAGTTTATAGCCATGATATATTTGTAGAATGCTGCAGAAATGTTTATTTAAAAGAGAATGCAAAACTTTTTAACATTAGTCTAAAATTATATTTTTTTTAAATATCTGAAGTTTCAAGGGAAGAGGCAATCTTATCAAAAATACAAAATATAAGTTATATCCAATAGATGAATTTGAAATTTTTAATAAAATGTATGAATAGATGTTTTCTTGTTTATTCTTAAATTTATTTGCATTAAGTGAAAATAAATACTGCAATAAAAGTATTTTAATATTAAAGGTTGAAGTGTAGAAAATGAATGAAATTTTAAACAAGAAACTAAGAAATGATCATTGTGAAAATGTGATTAATTTGCCTCAATATACATGCCCACATGAATAAGATATTTGCTTGAGTTGTATTCATGTCTAACAGTACTAAATGTAAAAATGTTGTTAGCAAAATGACAAATTTCTAAGAAAATACTTAAGTAATTAGTAAATAAATCTGCTAAACAATTGACAGCTATTTATTAATTAAGTTTCAATATTTTTTGTGTATATTATAATGTTTAATCAGAGTTTGGTCAATACTATTAAAGTTTCTCAAACTGTGCAAGATAACTGTTCTATTGAAAGAAAATTTATATCTTTCATTCCTGATAGTCTGATAGTCAAACAGTAAGAGCATAAGTCTACTACTCTGGAGAACTTGAATTCAAATCTAAATCAATTTAAAAATTTTCATAAATCATTAACTCATATATGTCAAGTTCTATCCCTTATTACCTGCCATTTCTATTGTGTACCTAGGATAAGCACACAATTCACATAAATTAGTCTGCTATTGAATTGGTTATTAAATATATTACATTGTTTATTCAAAAAATTTAACATTGTAAAAAATGAGGAAAAATTCCAATTTACAAAAGTTACCTTTAACACTTGGTTCTGTTAACCATATCAGATCGGGAGGAAGCACTTCAGGAACACCACCAACTCTTGTACTTACAACCTGCAATCTTAAATACAAATATAACTTGGTGAACTTACTTAACAAAATTTAATATAATAATAAAAATCCAATATATAAAAACATTACAGACAGTTTGCAACAGCTGATGCAGTAACCATACATCACTAATACAAATGGTAGTACATAAGCAAAGGCGCACAATTCTTTTATCATTTACCATATATATTATTGTAATACTATGCTGTGTATACTGTTAATATTTTATTAGAGGTGTTGAATATACCAATAGACCTGATGTACCAACTTTAGTAAGTTATCTTATTGACATAACTTCTAAAAATTTTTAGGCATAGCTTGATGTCCTACATAGATTCTATTGCCTTCTAGTGTTAGCTGTATAATTTATGTATATCTTACATTGAAATATATTAGTTTATGTCTCAATGAAAGTGGTGTGTCTTATTATATGCTTTCACTGTAGTTATCATATACTGTATCCACATTACAGTTCTAACCTACTGGTAGCTTACTAAATAGTTAAGGAGTTGATTTATACAGTCAGTACAAATTAAAACCAGAATTTCAAACTGCAAATCTTAAGGTAATTTGGTATATAAATCAACCTCATATGCTGTCTTGTACAGTATCTTTTATATCATTGCCATATTTTCAACTGATGTTAGTATTTAAGAAATTCACATTTGAAAAATCATATATTGTAGTTTCATAATTAGATGCAAATCAATTTTGCTAGAAATAGGTGATTAACCTGCCATCTCTCGATAAATTTAATAATTAGAATCATATGGCAATAAAAATATCAGGTACATTTCTACATTTTATCAGAAACTGAAAAAGTCTCTATTATTGAAGGCAAAGCTTTAACTTTTACTCATATTTCTTCTATATAATTGGCTATAAAAGCTATAATTAATCGTTTATTTATCAATATAAAATTTTTTAACTTGCAATCATATAATCATGCATTAGTAGTAGTTTATTTAGTTTATTATATGTAAAAAATGGAGATAATAAGAATTTCATTACCCACAAGATGCTGCCTCCACAATAGCCATACAGAATGCTTCAGTTAAAGATGCATTCAAAAAAATATCACCTTGCACCAGAATCTAAAATAATAATTAAACTTAAAAAAAAATAATCATAAACTTAAAAAATTAAAATCATAATGTTCATTTTTAATAATAACATTTAGTTAAAATTGATTTAAACAAATTAATTATTATTAACAGNGCATTCCTATCATTTAATTATTCAGGTAAAAGCATTAAAAAAATGTATAAATTTTTACTTTTTGCTTCAAAGGTTTTGATTTTTCAGAATCAAGCACAATAGCATTGATGCTGATAATGTATGATTTCCTGTAGAAAAATATTTCAAAAATAATTGATATTTCTAATTTTACTTCAAAAATTATTTTGCTACTTATGCTATACATATAAATTGTATAATGTAAAAAACATGGTCAATTTTATCTTATATATACGGGATATAATACAACATGTATATGTTCACAAGTAAAAAAAAAAAGTTGAAGGTTTCTCTTAAAAACTGTGCCAATCAATAGTACAAGTAGTAGCTTTTTACAATCATATAAGTTTATTAAAAGCATACAAATTAGTGAAAGTGTGTATGGTATGTTTAATTGTTCTCCATTTGGCTTAATGTAATTTGTTTCAAATACAAAGATTATAAAAAATAAATAAATGAACCAGGGATATAAATCTGCTAGCAGTATGAAAAGTATGAACAAATAATCAACTGAAAAATAAAAAAAAATCAAAACTGATAAAATGCTTAAAGCTAAATCTTACTTATCTTGGTATGTTTGTGTATATATAAAGCTAAGAATCATCAAATAACAATAAATTAATTCTGAAATGTGTAACTTTAAAGTTAACACAATTTTATCTGATGAATTTTCAATAATTAATAAATATTTGTTTTACTATAAAATTAAAACTTACCAATTATAAACTGTGTTTTTGGATATTTATTGCATATAATTGGAATAACTCCAGCTAAGAGATCCACTCCTTTGCGATAAACCAATCTACTTATTACTATTATTGTTACTGAAAATACATTCAAAGAAACTAATAAATGTGTAGGTAGATAATAAAACAAAAATACAATAAGATCTTAAATAAATAATCATAAAAATAAACTAAATGTACTTATTTATTTTTTAAATAAATCAAAAATTAACCTTTTAAAATCATTTTTAGATTTGCTTTGAAAATCTTTAGTTTTACATAAAAAAGTTTTTTTAATAAAGTATTTAATAATCTAAAGAAAAGAAATGGAAATTTGAAATAAAAAAAAAAATTAAAATAGAAACTCACTGAGTGATTTTCCTCATGATTATGTTTTCTGAGAATGGCAATAAAACATTTAATAAAAAATGTAATCAACAGTTTTCTTTCTATAATTTCTATATGATTAATTTTTGTACTCACATTTCTCACATTTTCATGTTCTACAGCACCAAGTAAAGTAACTCTGTCTTGTAATTGATGCTGTTCACGCACTTCTTCTAACACAATACGTTTTGGTCCATCACCACCTGTAGAGATCAATACATGTAACTTTTTACTTTGTCAACTTTGTTGTAAACAAAAGTTACTAAGTACCTGAAATTAGTAAGGTCAAAAGTAACTTAAATTTTTAATGTGTAAGATTCAATTGAAAATGATTTATATAAATTAAAATTTATGTCAACCATTAAAATAGTAATTTTTTAAGAACTCATTTTAACATCAAAGAAGATATTAAAGAAATATGAAAAAAGATTTGCTGATGAATGTAAAACAATATCCAAACTAAAACATCTCAGATATTTTTGTTTGGATATCAATTGTTTTTTGTTTAATAACTGTACTATTACATCAATACATAATACAACAATGTACAATTCAGTTGGTGCTAGGCAACCGCTGCGGCAGTCATCAAGCACTGAATGAACACATCGCTGACCAAATGCACTGCCAACCAAATGCTTTCAATATTCATATTGGTTGCTGCCAATTGACACTTTCGATATGCCATTTAGAATAATTATTATAAAAAGTTTTAATTCACATAAATTTGAGCTCTTGTAATTCTGAGTAACATTTTGAATAAAATTCATTTATTTCAATGCAATTTTATCTTTATAGGCATAAATTAAGCTGCAAAACTGAATTAGTTCTATGGAAAACCTCATGAACTTTGACCTATCGACCCAGAAGTTTTGCAAACACCTCAGTGATAATGAGAAAGGCTTAAGTTTAAAATTTAAGCTTTCTACATCCAGTAGTTTTTTCTCTACAAGCATATGCAGTGCCAAATAAAGAAAAATGAGAAAATACAGCTTTTCTGGTGATTTTTGCACTTTTCACTGCTTATATTTTGGCAACCACATTACAGAAATCTTGAAAGTTTCCACACTACCTAAGAAACCACAATTTTCCTTTTGAACAAGATATTTGGAATTACTTCAGATGTTTGGGGGTGGAGAAATCTTGATATGTCTCTTCATTGTTTTATAATATTGTGTTAAATATTTTTACTTTACTATCTGATAAATTTATTAACATTCAGTAATTTCCATTATTGAATTATCTCAAAAATGATCAATTATATTTTATATTTTTANTTTAACAATATTACATCTTTATATGTAAAGCTAATTATTTGCATTTTAAACAGGAAGTTATTTTTTAATTAAAAAAGACAATATGAATATATCAATGCATTTGTTTCTCTCTAAATTAAGTCTAACTTTCATGTATTTATAATTTATGATTTAATTTATTTTTGAAACATTCAATAAATCATCATTACAGCTGATAGTAACTCCAAAAGATTTTGTTAATGTTCAGGAAATAATTTATATTTCATTTCACATCAAAACCATTTCTTTTTCAATGATAAAAATCATTGTAAATTTTTTTGTTTTGTGTAAGAAAAAAATATTAATGATTTTAAATAATTATTGTTCAACTTGAAGATTATTACACACAGCAAGTTTATTATAGATAAAAATATTTTAAAACTACATTGGTTCTATTCAATACTTTCTAATTAAAATCATAAAAAAAACCATTTACTTTTATTAGGATTTCTTTTTGAAGGATCTGGTGTGAATATTGTTGTATCAACAGCATTAGGTATGACAGATACCGAACTTGGTTTTACTCCAGCTCGAAGGACTGTATTTTCCTTACTAAATTAAAATTAAATCATATTGTACTAAAAACAATATGAAATTATATTCAATGGCATTGATTATAAACTTTATTCTGATTAAAATTTTTAATTAATTTTATTAACTGAAAACTTTTTATATAAATAGTATGAACAGCATTCTTTCTCAACTTTGTAACAGAAGTCTCATTTTAGCATATATCTGATTTAATTTTAACGAACAACATTTATCATCCAGTTGTTTACCTAAATTATAACGAATTATTAGGCTTATTATGGCTAATGATTTTGCTTTTAATGTCAAATTTAATATTCGAAATTATGAACCAATACTATATTAAATCATGTGCATGTAAAAATGCTCTATATCACAGGTCATTATTTGCATTCCTATCATTTAATTATTCAGGTAAAAGCATTAAAAAAATGTATAAATTTTTACTTTTTGCTTCAAAGGTTTTGATTTTTCAGAATCAAGCACAATAGCATTGATGCTGATAATGTATGATTTCCTGTAGAAAAATATTTCAAAAATAATTGATATTTCTAATTTTACTTCAAAAATTATTTTGCTACTTATGCTATACATATAAATTGTATAATGTAAAAAACATGGTCAATTTTATCTTATATATACGGGATATAATACAACATGTATATGTTCACAAGTAAAAAAAAAAGTTGAAGGTTTCTCTTAAAAACTGTGCATATAAGAAAATAATTTATTATTCGTAATAAAATTTAACTAAAGGAATTTTCTCATATTAATAATAAAAAAAGCTTTAACATTACTTATATAATACACAAATTTTAAATTTGCTTACCCAATGTGAGATACACAGATGACTTGATTGCAAACTGTTAACGCCATCTGAAGTAATTTGTTTGTAATAATTGCACTTGCATCAGCAAAACCAAACAAAGAATGATCAGTAAAAACAGTCTTTATCCCCATTGTTTTGGCATGAAACATAGCTTCTTGAGCTAATGCTGAAAATGCCTAAAAATAAACAAACTCAATACATTAACAATTATATATAACATATCAATAAATATATTTAATTAATTAATTAATTTAAACTTACAAGGAGAGCCTACGGCTTTGGGGTAACGGATTTTGACAATCTTTGGTGTAGAAGTAGTACACCATGTGAGTGTACTACGTGTAAAATACTAAAGTGCAATACTCAAATGTAATCAAGAAAATCGAACTTAAAGTTTTTTAGCACTTTATATATAAATTATACGTACTTCTATTTGAGCGTCCTGTGGCAGAGTGGTAACGAGTGCGATTCATAAGCTTGAGTTCTCGGGTTCGATTCTCGCGTATAATTTTTTTTTAATTCATAAATACTTATAATGTATTTATTTATTTACTCATTCATTTCTTATTATTTATTTATTTTAATATATTATATAACTTAAGCCCATAACCCGAGAAAACTCGGGCAAGTTACATAGCGTTACATAAAACGCGGTCCTTAAGGGTTAATTTTTTTTTGAATTTTTGGAATGTTTTTTGTCTCCAAATTTTTTCAGAATTTTTTTCCCGCGCTAAAAAAAAATTTATCGCTATTTTAATGAGCCTTTGATAAGGCTCGATTAAGGCTTAATTGTTTTTTAATGGGATTTTTTATCAAATTAATTCATCGTTCTAAAGTTCTAGCGCACGGATTTTCCTTCCTTAAAGTTATTTAAAGCTAGTTTCTGATGTCAAAAACGACCTCCGATAGTTTTTTAATTTTTTTAATTAATATATTTTATTATATATAAATTTAATTAATTAGATGGGGTCGGAAATCGCAATTAAAATTTCAATTTTTTAAAAATATTTAAAAATATAGGCCTAGCTAGTAGTCACCCTACTTTAAACCCTTGTCATCCCGAGACGTCTATGAGAATGTCCCGGGAAATCCAACTCCAGCTGTGTTCAAGGTCATCCAGATGTGTAAACAATGACTCATCGGTGTTAAATTTCACAGAAAGGCGAGACAAAGGAAAATAAAATTTGAAGATTTTTCTTCAAAATTAACGCATTTCTTTCGTTTTTTTTAGTTTTTAAGTATTTTTTACGTTTAAATAAATTAATATCAAAAATGTCTATGTCCTTAAGGAGTTAAACAAGTTCTCGTTTAAACATACCTTGCAATTGTAAAAAAGCAGCATTTATTTGTTGTTCTTGGTGTAGACAGAATTTTTGTTTTGAATGTTTTTATCATAAGTATCATTCACGATCATGTACATCTGACAATGCTATGTAATTATATAATATTGCTTCAATAAATTATATTCGTTTTTCTTGGTTATATTTGAGTTTTGCACTTTAGTATTTTACTTCACTATGCTGCTTTGATACATCACTGTATAAAGAGTTATCATCAACAGTTTTTTCGTCACAACATGAAGAACTTGCTTCTCTTGACGACATTTTTTAATTATAAAATAATTTTTCAAAATAAGTTTTACTACACAAATACGTCTATTCGTGTCGAAATTTAGAAACGAACTGTTAAAGAGTGAGTGAAAAAGAACTCTGATAGAAAAACGCTCCTAGTGAGAATTAGATCGGTCACCGTTAGTGATAACAATTAGATGGGAAAGTTGACACATAGGTGTCAAGAATGCGCCGTTATTGTCAACAAAAGTATAAAAATATTAGACTTGGAATAGTAGAAATTAAATTAAAATAAATAAATAATAAGAAATGAATGAGTGAGTAAATAAATAAATACATTATAAGTATTTATGAATTAAAAAAAAAATTTTACGCGAGAATCGAACCCGAGAACTCAAGCTTATGAATCAGACTCGTTACCACTCTGCCACAGGACGCTCGAATAGAAGTACGTATAATTTATATATAAAGTGCTAACAAAACTTTAAGTTCGATTTTCTCGATTATATTTGAGTATTGCACTTTAGTATTTTACAGGTAGTACACTCACATCGTGTACTACCTCTACACCAAAGATCATCAAAATCCGTTACCCCAAAGCCGTAGGCTCTCCTTGTTAGAAATAATTAAATTTTGATGAATAAAAACTGCATTTTTTTTAACTGAAAGCAATAATATCTATTAAAGTATTAAAATAATGCAAGTTATCAAAAATCTAATGCATTTTTATTCTTACAACTGAAATGCATTGTAATGTATTTTAGATAATTGAATTTCATCAAGTGAATTTTATTATGCTTACTGTTTTTTAAAAACAAAAAATATATTAAAATGCATTAAATGAAATTCAAAATCTAAATGTCCATGGGCATTACATTTCTTACCCATTATGATATCAAAATTGTATTAAAATGTTATAAAATATGTCAATGACAAGTTATGTTTAGCTCAATAAAGAGTGATTATTAATTAATAATAAAATTTTAAATTTTAAAATTTTACTTTTTAAAATTTAATAAGATATACGTTTCAAAATATTTATACTTTTAAATGTATAGCCCCTTCATTGTTATAGTTTGTGAAAAAATTAAATGTATCTGCTTAATCTATGCAAAATAATTAAATAAAAAATAATTTTTCATATTTAGAACTGAAAATTGTAACTAAGAATATATTGGAGTATTTTTTATTTCAAAATTAAACTTTAGAATGTTGTTGAATCATCAGATGATATACAATAGTTATTTTAAAAATTTGTATCACACAAGCAAGTCTCAAAAGCACTAAAGCTTACATTAGCTTTAGTGCTTTTGAATGTTTAACATAAATATCCAAATAAACTGTTGTTAAAATTTAAATTAGAATTTTTTTAAATTGCTTAAAACTAGAATTATAAACAAAACAATCAACTGAAAATGGGAAATCAACTAACTGAAATTCAAAGAACATAGGAAAATAATATTTTACTATTAGCAAGTAAACTTTTTTTTTCATTTTGAATTCTTTTTGTCCTACAGGCACTAAAAGATCCTTTTTCTATTCTCATCATGGGTTCAGCCAGGTGGTGAGGAATAGAGCTTGGCATATTCAGGACAGACCACCCCAAAAAATTCCTGGTGTTGTTCACTAGGATTTGATCCTGGATTTCCAAAAACAGTGCACTGGTACCATAACTGCTTTGGCCATCCAGCCATCAGTAAACTTATTAATAATAAACACTCATGTCTTATTTAGATCATCTTCTTGTCCTCTGCCATTAAAATTGAAAATATATTATCTACTACATTTACTATTTAAAATAATAGAAATATTTAGGAATATGTTCTGTTATGTATGTGAGAGAAAATAGCCACAAATGAACATTCAAAATAATATAATATAATATGCTCATAATTTATAAATATAAATAATCAATCAATAATTCAGTATGTTAAAAAAATGGAACCCTTACCGAATGTCCATGCACTATAGTAATTTGTTCTCGAACAAGAATATGACGTATGATTGGAAATGTAGTAAATAAAGTAGGCAAAGTGCACTGATTATAGATCACTAATACTGGTATATAATATACCTATGACAGAAAAATAATAATAATGATGATAATAGATACAAATAAAAAAAAAATGGTTAGTAATAAAAGTTTCCTATATAGTTAAATTAAAATTTAGGTTTTTTAGGTATAATCAGTAAATATTTCTGGTTTTTCTTAAAATATATAAACTTATAGAACTTGATTGTTAAGCTCAATATGGCCCACCAGTGGCCAAGTTGTTCCATTTCCTGAATGCTGGGAGTTCGGTTGTGGGTTTGTGCCTCGCCCAGACGGGCTGGCCAGATGGAGTTTGAGTCTTCTCCACATCTGTAACACCTGAATAGGAAGGAGCCAGTTACCTTTAAAAAGACCTCTGAGAAGACATCCCCTAGGCAGATTGCTAAGTGTTGCATTGCCATAACTTAACAAAACAAATAAACAAGTTAAATTCAATGTAAGAAAGTTCATAGACATCTTTATTTAACCAGAAGGAATAAATGCCCAAAATTCCCTACTTCATACAGACTTCTCTCTTTGTCCAAGATCTTGCATGGAGAAGAATGAGTATTTAATTTAGAAAATGTATTAGATGATTGTAAATAATTTGAGTTTAAGTTTTCCTAAAAATAAGCATTATTTCTATAAATATCACATTATTTCCAACATAGATGAATATAAATATAAACTCTTATGTAAGAGGATTATTATATACTAACATAACAAACTATGTGCTTAATAGGCAATAATTTGCTTATCAAAGCATACCCTGAGGCCTAGTATATAAATTATAATGAAATGGAAAAATGTAAATATAACCTGCAATTGAATTTGATGAAAGGAAAACACAGAAACCAGAAATTTTATACTTAATTTTAAATTCTATCTGACAATTATTTTTGTAAATAATCAGTTATCTGCATCTTTAACTGGCTAGAAAATTAAAAAAATTAACAACTATTGCATTATATTAAAAAATATTATTATTTATTCAATCATTTATAAGTAGCAAGTTAAAAAATAGTGTAAAAACATAGATTTAAAGAAAACACAGCTAGAAGAGAATTAAATAATGAATTCCAGCTTTTAAATTTTGAATTTTAATATATTCAGCACCTGCCAGCATTCTAATTTAGAACATTCAACTGGTGAATTCCTGACAGACCTGAGGAAAGCTTATAAACAAAGGCAAAAACATTTGTCAAAAAGAAAATTTATGCTTAGAAAGTACTGAAAGATATAGTTATTTCATTATTAAAAACATAGTTAAAACATATTCCTTTTCAGAAGAAATATTTTCTTAATTCTACCATATTAATTAATTAAATGATTTATACTTAACTAATAGAATTAACTTTTTAACTCACTTTTAATCCAGATGTCATGTATCTTATTCCAGCTCTTTTATCATAGATATGTGTTATGACTATTACTTTATGTCCTCTAGCAATGAGACATTGTGAAAGTAAATATATATGACTCTCCACTCCACCAGTATTGGGATAGAAGAAGTCCGATACCATACTTTAAAAAATAATTATTACATTTATATTTTAAAATATGTATTTTCAATTTCTATTTCTATACTAAGAAAATAAATTTTCAAAAATAAAATAAAACCAAATAGTTAAAATTATCACCAAATTAAAAAAATACTACTATATAAATCGATCCATTCTTCCACAATCCAAACTTTTCATTAAGTTTTATTGAAGGTATACCTTTCAATATATTAAATATAAATTTATCAGGCATCCCTGATAACTTCCATCTATCATTTTTAAGATTTAAAAACTAAAATTGTTTTCTAATTATGTTTATAAAATTTATAAAGAATAATATAAATGACTTACATACAGTAAAACCTAGTACAATTATATTCAGAGAGATTATAATTCTTATCTAATATAAAATCACAATCATATGACAAAAAGTTATAAAGAATCACAAAATTAAAAGACATTCCATAGAATGGTTCTGAAATATATATTCAAACTAGCTGTTACCCGTGACTTCACCCACACAGATTTTGCAAGCAAACACCATTTATATTCAGTATTTCAACAACCATAGTAATTGTTATATAACACCTACCACTGAGAACAATGAAAATTGCTGAGAATCATACGAACTGTTTTCAATTTGAACAATTTTCTGGAACGTTTACAATCGTTCTATAATCAAACCAATATGCAATAACAAATTTGAATTAAAAACGGTTCAATCATTTGGTTAAAAAATCGAAATATATAAAAATATTTATAACAATGTCTGAAATGTTATTCAATTTAATACACCTAAGTACTCAATGATGACTAAAATAGTTAAAAACAAAAATCGCATCTAAGGTGGCCGTACACGTTAAGTTAATCCTTTGAGGCTGCCTGATCTTGAGGGACTTCAGAATTTTCTATCGCCCACACACAAAGAAAATCTCTCAGCAGAGGGGTAGCTAGGGTGGGGCAAGTAGGGCACATGCCCCGGGCGCCACTCGCAGAGGGGCCCCAAATGGTCTCCAAGACAAACAAAATTTGTTTCTGGAGGGGGAGGGGGTGCCAATATAATGTCATGCCCAGGGTGCCAGTTATGTTCGCTACACCATTATCTCTCAGTCAGTCGGCCATGGCATCTGATGACGACATACTAGCTGTTCTTGGATGTTTACTGGCAATAAATTCTATCCAAACTCACAGGAAAAAGTATGCATAGAAGTCTATGGTGTAAATAGTAGTAGTAGTGGTTTGGGTAGCACTGATCACAAAATTAATTTTTCAAGAGAAATCTTGGGTTATAGATTCTGTTAAAAAACATCAATTATCAGCGAAAGATCAATGGCAAGTCAATTTTACTACCAAAAAGATTCATGGATTAAATTTTATAGATGAATCTCACAACTGCACACACATTAAGGTCGGCCAGCGCAGTCTGCCACTGCTCAGGAAAATCAAATGGTTTTTCGATTCTACTCCAGTGGTCAGTACAGTTTGCCAAAACTGTTGAATTTTCCCCCACACACTACCAGGAATTACTCAAGGTCAGACATGCATGATTAATCTTCAAAGGATTAACTTAACGTGTATGGCCTCCTCTACTCCAGTGGTCAGTACAGTTCGCCAAAACTGTTAAGTTTTTCCCCACACACTATCAGGAATTACTCAAGGTCAGGCATGCATGGTTAATCCTTCGAGGATTAACTTAACGTGTATGGCCGCCTTAAAATAGTACAGTAGAAGCTGTTCTTCAGGTTAAGCCTTAATCCTCTCCCTCTCCCTATGGGAAGAATTTCAAATAATCCCTTCTTAGCATGCGTTTTCTAACTGTGTACCAAATTTCACCTCTTTAGGTTCAGTGGTTTGCTCTGGGTGATAATGAATCAATCAGTCAGTCAGGACAAGTAATTTTATATATTTAGATTGGAACAATATAAGAGATCTGATGATGAGACAATATCAGAAAATATTTTATCTAAAGATAAAAGAACTAGTGTTTGGTGTGTTCAATAAACATCTATTATGAACAAAAATAATATGGATTCTGAAAATGTTAGTATACTGTTTAATAACAGCAGTAAAATAAATCTTATCCTAAAGTTGATAAACTTTCTGTAGACTGTAAAACATAAAATATAAATAAATAAAACCACAACTTAAAACACATGTTTTAGTTCCATTGCAATTCTAATGAAGTTGAAAATTGGAGATCAAAGTGAGATGAAAAAATAAAAAGCTATTGATTTCCAAATAATGCTTTCTTCTTCATACAAAATTTCCAAAACACATTCAAGAATTAAATCAAATCACTATTCCACACTCCATATCAATGTTTTATACTTACTTGGTATCCAAATGAAAAGAGATATTAATTATTACCTCCTTTTTTTTTAGTAACAAATGACTACATCTAAATCAATAATCACAAATAACTCTCTGTTCTTAAAACTTAAGTATTTAGTCAATATTATTAACTATTACATTTTTGTTGTAACTTATCAAAGATATTTCCCAAGAAAAATTAAAGATTTTACTGTTTACACTATTGAAAATGGATATAGTAATTTCCTTAAATGATTCAATTTCTAGTTCTTGTTTACAATATGTTTTAGTGCTAAATAGCATGCAGTTCAGCAGAGAATACAAAGTAGTTGATAACTGATCTATCACCACATCATAATGAAATATTACAGAGGATCCAACCTAATTATAAGTTGCTCAAATATAATAAGAACTTAATTAAAAAGTCTCAATGTTTTCATAGTACGGATATAATTCTAATCAATGAAATTTGTTCATTCACTGTCAATGTTTCAGTTATACAGTCAACCCCCTATAGCACTGTTGATTATTCCGTATTATATGAATTCCACGTTGTACGAGTCACTTAGATTTTACAAATACGTGAGCCGTTCACAGCCCGGCACACGTATTTGTAAAATCTAAGTGACTCGTACAACATGGAATTCATATAATACGGAACAATCGACAGTGTTATAGGGGGGATCGACTGTAATTGAATTGAAATTGACTTCAAATTTGAAATGGATAATTGGAGCTGCAATAATTAAAATAGTTCATTGCAGCTTCAGTTGCATTATAAATATTTGTCTTGGTTAAAGTGTACCTAGGTAACTCCAATGGCGGCGCTTCCGACTGTTCGTACTTCCGACGGACTCCTCCCGGAGGGGAGCCGCCGGCAGACCACCGAGTGCCTAACGTCACTAGTTATTGATTCACGGTAGTTCCTGAATAAAAGAAAAAAAACGAAACGTCTACTAAAAGTATAGTTAATCTAACCTAACCGAAGCGAACAGTCGCGACCGCCGCCATGACTATGTACATAGGTACAGATTGAGCAGATCTTACCATATTCCATGCTTTTTTCTCGCCATTTGGCTTTAAAAATATTTTAAAATGACATCATATATCACGCAAAACATTCGTATACCATCACTCTGGTCACATGGCAGACATTATCGGAAGTACACATTTTCAAAGAAAACGACACACACCACCTGTCGGAAATTATTACGAAAAAAAATATATTAATAACATTTTGATTTAGATATGTTTATACTCACAAATATTTTATTCGTTAAATTTATTTATTTAGTTTGTATAATACAATAATATAAAAAATTCACGTGAAATAAATATTTTTTATGGATGGCCGAAAAATTAAAATGCAGCTTACCGCTCTAGGTAGAGTACAATACCTATATTATGATTATATAGGTACTCTAGCTCTAGGTACCGGAATTGAATCTTGATTAGGTCTAAAAACCCGATATGCCGGGCCCCGTTCCCCACCCGCTTATTATTTTATTAATCCATTGTGAACCTGGTCGAAAGAATAGTGGGCTTACTAAAAAGAGGCCATCTTAGTTCCCACCGGGCAGAAAGAGTCAAAAAGAAAAAGTCATAAACTAATTTGCGGCCGAATGGTTAAGCAAATGATAAACACATCGGATTACCGCTCCGAGGGAATGGAATTCGACACCACAGATTCTTCACAAATTCTTATGGATGATTTGACCTAGATAGATTATTTTTTTCTCTCTCGCTATCTCTCTTTTCGCCCTATGGCCAGTAAGAGGGTCTTTTTTAGCAGGCCCATTATGGATTCGGCCAGGCCCACCAATGAGGCGGCCAGGTGGTGAGGGATGGAGATCGACATATTCGGACGGACCACCCCGAAAAATTCTTTGGGATTTTTATACCCGTCCGGGACTCGATCCCAAGTCCCCCAGAACGGTGGGCTTTGGGGACAAACCTTGACCGTTTGCTTCTAAACATGAACTGTAATATTTCTTCCTCTTCTCTCCTTTTACATTAATGAAAACATAACCCCTATAAAAAAGAAACCTGTCAAAACGGAAAATTCCGGCCGTTCGTTTTAGGTAGTGTTTTGTTAATGGCTTTTATATACTGCGAAATGATCGTAGAGAGAACAATATTTTCTTTCAAGTATTCAGTTAACGATTACGTTTGGCCATTCCAGGATTTATCAGGTTTGAAATTTATACTCGAAATATCGAATAGCATCGAAATTTCCAGAGTTTTGGAGGCAAACTGTATAGACTTTCCGCAAATACCCAAAGATGTATGAAGTTATGCATAGAAACATAATTCTGTACTTTCCAACAGAAGCTAATTCCTACCTCTATTGTTATATTGTTATTTCACAAATATATAACAGCTTATACACAAAATGGAAATTAGACTAATCAAAAAATATTTTAACTGTTTCTTATATTTGAATATTTTATTAACAATTACGATTCATCAAGAATTTTCAATCGAAGTTAAAAATCGATTTTCAATTCATTGTAATTCAATTAATGGAGAAAATTTATCTTTGAATTTTTCAAAATGTTTCAAAAAATATTGATGGACTGTGGTAAAATAAATAATAGCTATGAAAAAAATTTTATGTTTATGCTGCCATGTACCGGTACCGATGGTACCGGTACAAAGCAACGCTTTACATGGACGATCTGCCAAGGAATAATGTCTCCTGGAAAGACTTTCTATGGAAAACTAGAGCATATTTAGGTGTTAGACACGTAAAAAACATCGGAAAACTCCCGTTAATCAAGCGTGAACACGTGACCAACGACCAGTGTTTAGCGATTTTATCCATTCGGTCACTGATGGGCGGTCTTGATCGAAACCTCAGCAATTTTTAGTAGTAGTGTGATATAGTTATACTGTACGGACATTGTCCGTGATGGGCGTAAATAAATTAAAACAGAGCGAAGGATTTTAGAAAACAGATACCCTATCAATAAATTGAGAAAGATAAGACACATTTGAATGTCAATGTAAATTAATTTCAACATCAAAACTAAAGTATTTTGTATCCATCATCCATCACGATCGTAGATAACGATGACAGTTTCTGTTTTTGTTGTAACAAAGGATAATCAATTCGCTACCAGCACTGTAAATATAAGACAATTCTTTCGATGACATATTGACACTAAGCTTTGAGTCAATATTGTAATAAAGCATTACACAATCGTACAAGTATAACAAAACATTTGAGATTTCGTTTGCTGTGTTCGATTTAGATTAACCTCGATAGTCAGCGATTAAACATACTAACGAAAATAATTTTTAAACTTAATTTAAAAATTTATTGATATTTTTTATACTCGTTTGAATGAGAAACGGTGTTTTGAGTAAGTTAAATATATAACTGATTAATAAACTAACGAGAATTCTGTATTTTAATGGTTTAGTTGATTCGTTTACGATAAAGCAACTTGTGGGCGATCTGCCAAGGGGAATGTCTCCCGGGAAGACATTTATGGGGAAATTAGCACCTATTAAGGTATTACAAATATGGGGAAAACCCGAAAAACTCCGCGTGGTCAGCCCATTGGCCAGGCGCAAACCCACTACCAATTCCCAGTGTTCGGTAGTGTTATCCACTCGGCCACTGACCGGTTCTGTCTACAGTGGTACTCGTGCTTCGAACGCTTCAGAGTTCGACCGCCAATGTCCACAAAAATTCATATTAATTCATAACGAATTCCACAAAAATTCGCTTCGAAGTTCGAACGATGCTTCAAAATTTGAACTGAGTACGGATTGAAAAATGTACTAAAAGTGTAAAATAAGCTTCTGAACAAAGACTATATTCTCAAATTAGCAATAAAGTGCTAAAATTCACAACTGTTATAATCAAATCACACAACTATGTTAAGTAACGACAACAGTTAAAAATATGCAATAACTTTCTATTCGATCCAATATGACCTTTACTCATTAATCATGGCATCCGAAAAGCGTGTGGAAGGAAAGAAGTCTAACTAGTAAATCGAAGGCTCGAAAAAAGCTATGATGAAAAAGGAACTTATCGCGAAGCATGAAAGTGGTACACGTGTGGCGGCCATATTGAAGATGCCGAAGTAGACGGTATACAACCAGTAAATGTACTTTTTATTTTATTATACATTATTTACGTAGATTATCAAAACACGCCTTATGTTGCCGAGATAATTTATTGAAAACTGACGCTTTCAACCTATTCCATAGGGACGGCCGGATGGCCGAGCGGTCAAGATGACATCCTATCACCTTGGGGATCCGGGATCGAATCCGGTCGGGTCAAGGAATCCCCAGGAATTTTCGGGGGGTGGTCCGTTCGGATATGTCGGGCCCCGTCCCTCACCACCCGGCAGCCCCATTGTGGTCCTGGCCGAACCCATAATGGGCTTGCAAAAAGCGGTCCTCTTAGTGCCCACAGGGCGGAAAGAGTAAAAAAATGATATAATTAATAGTGTAATTAGTTCGCACGAGTGGAATTTAACAAGGCTTTTGTTTATTTGAAAAACTGATTCTAAATTAAAATATTCGATAGATAAACTGGGATAAACGCATAATTGAAGCTCAGAATGAGAGCGGACGTCAATGGATATCTGCAATGTTGTCGGCGAGATAAAAATTGAATATAAGCGCACATTGAGGATGAAACTGCGTAACTGAAATTATTGGTTGTTTGGTGCGATAAGGCAACGCAAAGTCCATCTGTCAAGGGAAAATGATTTCTGGAAGAACTTTCTATAGAAAACTGGATCTATTTAGGTGTTAGCCACGTAAAGAAAACACGGAAAACGCCACGTGACCAAGTCCGTTGGTAAGGCGAGAATGTATGATCAGATACAGTAACACTACGAATACCGGAACCCGAGTAAGGCGAAAACCTTTTAGAAGTTCAAATGTTTTTCAGGAATTTTGAAAAGGTAAAGAAGACCAAGAATTCTTTGATAAGGCTATGGACTTAGAAATTCCTCTCAATAACCTCATTAGAAATCCAAAGAAATTCAATAAAACGATGTTAGATTGCTTTATTAAAAGTGAACTATTCCCACTTATTTGTGTATAAAATCTTTATATCAATATCTACAGACATCTGTAACAAATATAATTTGAGTAAAACATACGAAAATCATCAAAAGATTATTTTTTCGCCCAATTTCATAAAAGAGAAAAGCGACATATTTTAGAGCATTTTAAAGAAATAGAAAAGTGGTAAGATTATATCCTTTCAATGGCAGAGAACCTGGAAAAATATGATAGTCCAGTCGAGTTCTGGCTTTTACAAGTTTTACTGTACTAGTGTGCGGTAGTTGTATCCACTCGGCTACTTGTGGGTCGTAATTAAAAGTACAAAAATTAACAAAAATACACGAAGGTGTCAGTAATTGATCAAACAAAGAGTAAGCGAGAAAATTTCTAACACAGAATATATTTTTCAACAAAATTCCTGTAAACATTCGGGACTTAGTCCAAGGTTGTAGCTTCTAAAATCATATTATATACTGTAAAATTGTTTTGATTGCCATCGGAGTCAGTGCGGATCAACATTGGAACAAGTGACTAAATGTTTATACGAATTTTGTTTAAAAAATGGATGTTCTATGTTAGAAATTTTCTTGGTTACTTTTTGTTAAGTATCTGTAACCTAATTACTGACTTCGCCTCCTGTTTGTTATCAATCGATAGTATAATCTGTATTTAATAGTTTAGAATGATTAAACACAATTTATGTAACTAACAATTTTAAATATTATTGATCTGATCTGTAGATATATGGCTCTAGAAGGATATAATTTTGGATCAATAAAAATAATTTGATATTCGTAAATGCGGATTCTACGTCCACCCGTACAGATCTTTCTTTATCTTCCTAACAAAGCTGTTAAATATTAGCTTAAAAATTACAAATTAAAAATAGCACAAAACTATGATACTTTTGGCATTTCGAATCTTAACCCGTATGATTTTTTGGTTGTGAGGACATTTAAAAGTTTGATTTATCGAGGACACGCTGCAAATTTGCAGCCTTGAAAGAGTCTCGCACTGCGTGTTCAGAAGCATTACAGAAAATCAATTACGTTCGGTCGTTGAACACAGTGTCTATTGCCTTCAGGTTTTACATCTTTAAAATAGAGACCATATTGATCAGTATCCTTGCATCGCTGTCTCTGTACTGCATAACGTGTCT